GTAGCAGGTGGGAGAGTCCCAGTCCTTTGGCCTGCAGCGGGGAAGGTTTCCACGTTTAGTTTTAAAGCCCCCCCCCAGTCTTCTGAAATGGCTGTGCACAAAATGCTGCGTAACCGGGGAGCGCGGCCGCCTTTGAAACGCATCTTTCGCGCCTATTTACTACCCCGTGCTTAAATTAAATTCTCATTGGTTTTATATTTCAAGAGCTTGGAGTGCTTCTGTGCGAGGCCGAGCTGTGTTTCGCTGCTGAGCGTGTCGAGGGCGAACCTGGAACAATTCCGGTAGAGAGTTTTTTTTCTAGCAGAGCCCTCGGTGATGCCGCTGAGCTAATTGTGCTAACGGAAATGGGCGTTAATTGGGGAGTGATGCTTATGCCGGGCACTGAAGAAGGCACAGGTCGTGGTGTAATCCATGACGGGGACAGCACGACAAGCGGGCGAGTTCCTCACACGTGTTGGCGGTTGGCCCCGCTGGTTGGGTGACGATGGTGGCTCAGAAGGTAGAGCCCTTCTTGCTGCTGCTGCTCTTGTATTATTTTCCTTGGAGGCAGGTGAGGAATCGCCTGCGCCGCCATGGAAACTCTCCTCATCTTCCCAATGTGTCCCCACATCGGTCCCTGCCTATCGAGGGCTTCAGGACCGGCTCCAGCTCCTCAGCAGCTGCCATTTTCTGCGCCCCTGTTCTCCAGCAGGAGTTTGAAACCCCCTTGAAGTGGGGAACGGGGAGGGATAGGCCACAGCAGTGACTGACGAGGTGCTGGGCAGGGCTGACCTTCCGCAGCGGCTCGCACTTTCTGACCCGAGCGCTTCCCTTGCCACACTTGGCAGGGAGCAAAAGAGGAGGGATGAACTTCCCTGAGGTCAGAGCTGCTATTAAGGAATCACCTGCGAAAGGAAAGCGGTGTGGTGGAGGGTGGGAGTCCTATAGGGAAACACAGGCAGCGACCAAAGCTTTCAGTGGCTTCTCACCATGTGTGTGGGGCCGCTGGGATCTGTAACGGTGTGAAAACGGATGGCAGGAATTTGTTGCTCTGCTACTTTTTCTTTTTTCTTCCCGCCCCCGCCCCCCATCCCATATCTTGCTTCCCAAGACTTCACTCAAATCACCTGTATAGAGCTCATCAGTGTGAGTCTAGCTCCTGTGCTTCTGCCTGACCACTTGGACGTTTGTGACTGGTAGAATATGCAAGGGATTTCCTTTTTCTAAAAGTTCTCTTAACTTGGTGTTTCTCAAACCTGAAGGGAGACTTTTTGTCTTCGCAGCCACCATGTCATCCGGTCAGGAATCCGTTTTCTCGGAGTATGAGACTGACACCAGCCAGACATCGAAGCTGTTAAGGAAATTTAAAGAGACACCATTTGTACCCATCGGTGAGTTTAAAGATGAGGAAATGTGGTTATGTCGATCTCTCTCTTCGTGAGCAATCAATAGAGTAAACACTGGCGCTGACCACATTTTTCCTGTGACTGGGGAATTACTTTGAAATTAATTCATAGAATCATAGAACGTTTTGGGTGGGAAGGGACCCCCAGAGGTCACCCAGCCCAACCCCCCTGCAGGAGCAGGGACACCTTGAACCACATCAGGTTGCTCACAGCCCCGGCCAACCTGGCCTGGAATGGTCCCAGGGATGGGGCCTCCACCCCCTCTCTGGGCAACCCCTGCCAAGGGTTTCACCACCCTCACTGTAAAGAATTTCTTCCTTAGATCCAGTCTAAACCTACCCTGGTTTAGTTTAAAACCATCCCCCCTTGTCCTGTCCCAGGTGGCCCTACTAAAAAGCTTGTCCCCCCCTTTCCTCTGGGCCCCCTTGAAGCCCTGACCGGCCG